CAGCAGGGAGCAGGAACTCCCGGCAACTCCCCGCGCTAGACTGACACCACCTCGGCTCCCGCACCGCCTGTACGAAATCTTTCTTCTGTCCCCTTGCTTTTTGTCTTGTTTGAGGGGTGTGTGCGTGTGTTTCTGTTTGTCGGACTTCGGGGCGGGGCGGTGGTGCGGCGGCCCCGGCCGCGCGCAAGGCGTTGGGCTGGGGCGCGCGGCCGGCGGCGTATCTGGCGTCGCGATCGGTACTACTGGTGGGGAAAGGGGCTCATTGTCACGAACCAACACCTCTGGCTTTGCGACCGCTTGCGACGCCCCGCCCGTATACACCGGCCGGCACCTCGCCCGGCCCGGGACCGGCCGGCCGCTCTGCTCTGATCATAAATCCGTTCGGCCCCGCCACGCCGCGCCACGCCGCGCCACGCCTCGCTCCGATGTTTGATTCGACTCAAGTCACCCCATCCATTGGCTCTCGGGCGGGAGTGGCGTTGCGCGGCGTATCGCCGGGCCGCGCGCGGCAACGCCCCCTTGCTCCCCGATTGCTGCAAGAACAGCGCGCGGTTGTTTGTGTTTGTGTGCGTGCACACTGGTGTAACAAATGTGCAATGTTTTGCACACTTTATAGAATGTGTGCAAATCATGGTGTAACTCATTACTTTGGTGTCTGTCTTTCTATACGCACTCCCGTTGTGCCAGTTCCTAAGATTTAATTGTGTGCACAGTTAAACCTTTAGACATCCATTGACGTTCAACATTGAACACTACTTCGTTTGATCAACCATGGGGTGAATATCACCTCTGCACTCAAATGCACGCATAGTTATTCTGTACTCTTACCGTTTTTAAAATGTTTTCAATAAGCATTGTCTAAGAACCTAAGTAAAAATAAAAACTTTCCGCGTAGGAAAATAAAATATAAGAAACGCACACCGTGCGCCCGCGCCCTGCAAAAATGGACGTAACGCGGCTGTTATTACTCGCAGACATGAAGCGGGCTAATTAGGCGCGACAGATGACAATTATCTGATGGTCCTGGCTACGCCGCGCTACGCCGTGCCTCGCCGCGCTACGCCGGGCCGGATGCTCTTTACTTTTAATGATGGCTGTCGCCCGGCCGGCAGCGCTCTGGCCGCCTCTGTAAAAAGCATGACAACAAGGACATCGCGACAGCGACCTCTCTTTCTCTCTCTCCCTCGCGCTACCTAGCCTGACCCTTTGTCTCTCTCTCTCTACCCTTCTTTACCCGTTCGCGCTCTCACCCTCCAACGATGGTTCTGACTTGCCACGCCGTACGTAACATCCCCTTTGCTGTGCAGCAAGAGTGCCTTTGTGACACGTCCAAGTACATCCTACGCTTTTGCTGTCGAGCAGCACACTAAAATCTTCTGAACTATTTTATTCATAGCTTACGGACATCTGTCAACGTGTTGCATTTTCGGGTTTTTAATTCGCCAGCACAAATTAATTCGTTTATATCATCGTCGCAATAAAACCGATTAAAACCTGCACATGGTGTTGTCAAAAATTCATGTAGGCTATGGTGATGTAAGTTCGTAATAATTTTGTGTGAACGCGGCCTCTCGCTTTTTCATTGATCACCCCTCCTGGACCGCAGAGTTCGTGGGAGCGTCCGATTTGTTTTTCCCCCTTATCAGAATATCGACTGTATTCAAACGCTTCGACGCTCCACGCTGACTTGCTTTTCAATCTTTTCCACGGCGGGGCGTTCTTCCTTTTTTTCACACCCTTTCTTTCTCCCCCCTTCCCGTCTCCCTCCCTCCCACACACACTCTATCGCCCATCCACCACCCCTTCCGATAAAGCGATCCCCCTTAGAGTAGCTGCTGTCTCCCTCACTCTCGCGCCCGGCCCTCGCTCGCTCTCTGTCTCAGCCACTCTCGCGCCAGGGGGCCGCGCGCCGCCGGGAGCTGCTCCTGGGAGCGTGGAGCAGGGAGCGGTGCGGGCGCGCAGCGGTTGAACCCCCATCTCGGCCCGGGCCCGGGCGGCGCGCGTTTCCTCCGGGGAGTATTTGCTTATTCCTCCTAATCCCCGCCTTTATTCCGCCGTTGTGGCCCGCGGCGGCGGCGCGGCGGCCGGGGCCGCGGATAGAGAGGGGCGTTGAGAAATGGCGCTGCGCAGCCAAGGAGTCCTGACCACCTCCGACTCGGCTCGGCTCGGCTCGGCTCGGCCCCTTGCTCGGCGCGGCTCGGCTCGGCGCTGGGAGACGCCCACTCACCGCCCTTTCCTTGTCACGGGGAATTGCGAACGCGACCGGAAGAACTACGGCTGTCCCGCCACGCCCCGCCCCGCCACGCCCAGACCTAATGTTCCGGCAGATGGATGGAGCCAGATGGAACGCGAAGTATGGCGGGAGGGCCGGAGGGAGGGGGGCAGCTGGTCGGGGCGTAGCCAGCGGAGCCGGCACCTCTATACTCTACCCTGGCCTGGCCGGCCAGGGCGAGTGGAGGAGAGGTCGACTGGACTGGACTGGCTGGGCACCCGATTCAGATCGATCAGTCCGCCACGGTTGGGCGCCCCCGTTCAATGCGGTCAAGCAGCGCTACGGGTTAGGTTTTCCCTCTCTCTCTGTTTCACTCACTCACTCACTCACTCACTCACTCACTCACTCACTCACTCAATCACTCACTCACTCACTCACTCAGTTTGTGCCCGCGGGCGCAGGTCTTTAGCCCCCCCCCCCCCTTCTACTTCTCCACTCCCGGACGACAGGCTACACGTGTTCTGATTGGCGGTCGGACTTGATGCACAAGCGCCGATACCGCTATGCTACGCCACCCCGCGCCACGCCGCGTTACGCCCGGCCTATGCCAACAAATGGCTGCAGCCGGCCGCGCGCCGCTCCGTGTCCCCCCAATTATTTTGGCGACTGGAGCGGCGGCGGCCGCGGCGGTGCATGTAGCGAAGCGGACCCGGCGAATTCGTTTTACAAATCAGCCTGTCACTCGGCGGCGCCCCGCGCCCGCCTCGCGCACTCGTTCACGTTCCGACCAACCGCAGTTAGCATGAGCGAGCAGATCTCATTTTTTAGTGTTGTTTTTCTCCCCGCTGGATTCATCAGTTGCATGCTTTGGCCAAAGCCGGCTTTGTGGTTCACCACACCATCTGACTCTGACGAGACCACAATTCTGAACCGATAGTTTTTTGTTGTATGATGTTGCTGTTTGTTGACATCCTTGCTGCGCGCAGCAGAGTCGGTCCCGCGTCCGGCAGTTCGTCGTGTCGGGCAAGTGCGGAAAGTGGCTGGTAGCGCCGCGTAATGTATGCAATCCCACTCGAGGTGACGGCCCCAGTCTGTGGCTCAGCCTGGCGATAGCCCCGCGATTGATGCGCTCGCGCGGGGCGTGGACTGGACGCGCCGCTCAGCCCCTCCTCCTCCACCTCCTCCTCCTCCTCCTCCTCCTCTACCTCCTCCTCTACCTCCTCCGCCACCTCCTCCTCCACCTCCTCCTCCACCTCCTCCGCCACCTCCTCCTCCACCTTCTCCTCCACCTTCTCCTCCACCTTCTCTTCCACCTTCTCTTCCTCCTCCACCTCCTCGTCTACCTCCTCCTCCTCCACCTCCTCCTCCTCTACCTCCTCCTCCTCCCCCTTTACCTCGCCGTGCTTCTCCCCCAGCCAGCGGAGCCCCGGCACGGCCGCAGCAGCCCAGCAGGCCACACAGTCAATGGTCATGAATGAACCCAGGTGAATGATGGCACCACGCAAGGAGTCTGATGGTGAGGAGGAAGGGAGGAGGAGGGCAGGTCCTGGCCGGTCCGGTTCCAGTGAATGAAGCACACACTTGCGCCCGTGTGATGGCTAACCTGATGCGGCCCTGTGTATGTGTGTGTGAGCGCGCGCGCAGGTCCCTCCCCGTCTGTCTGTCTATCCGTTCGTTCGTCCGCCCGTCCCTCCGTCCGCGCAACATTGGGCCATTGGCATTTGCATTGGCGTGCCCCGATCTGCGTCCGGGTGGAGCTGCCGCAGTTGCAGCGCCTGACCCTCTCCCGCCCGTGTCTGTGTGCCTTTGCATACCACACTCCTCGGCAGCAGAAGAAAAAGGGAATTGTACTACAAGATCTTGGCACGCACATCAACTCTAGATCGTGTAAAGATGTTTGGGCTTGATTATTTATTAAAACTACGAATTCTGTTGCGGTTGCGCGTTGCCCTGGAGTGGGTCGGAAAAAGATGTGACCCACTTTTGGCTACACAGACAGAGGGTGTTCGAGCAGATTATATTTTCTTCTCCCTGTTTGTCATCGCGAAAACGGAATTGGAATAAGAAACGCAAACAATTGTGGGAGCGCCACCGAGTCCCTCCTCCTCCAGGGCTCCGGCGGAGTTGCTGGGGCCGGCTCCGGTGCGGGCTCTCCGGCTGCGCGGCGGGTAGGCGGGGGCAGCAGGGCGCCCGTCTGCGTGTCTGGAGCTGGCTGCCTGAGGTTAGGGCGACTCGGTATAAATAAACACCAACACCATATTTCATATTTGTGTCGTGCTTTACATAACGTTTATTTTATTTTCATATATATATACCCATTGCCCGTATCTGAAAAAAGAACTCTGAAAATATTTGTTGAGCGCGTCTTTTTGTGTTATTTTATTTATACCTTTTGTTCTCATCCATACCATCCGCATGCCCTTCTCTCTTCCCCCTTTTTCTCGTAGCGCCCTTTTATTCTCCTTATTTTTCTGCCCGGCTGGCTGCGGGAGCGCGCGCGCGCGTGTTAAAGACTGGGAAGGAAATATTTTGTCGTTGGTTGTCGTGGGCACTGCGCTGCGCTGCCCGGCCTGGCCCGGGGGGTGCCCATTGTCCACCGTTTTTATGGCCGAATCTTCATTGATTTATCTCTCAAGTCGCGGCGCGACGCCCTGCGGGGCGTGGCGTGGCGTTGGTGCCGCGTAACGCACCACGACGGCGCCGCACTCCTCGATTTTTTATATTTTTGTTGTTTTTGTTGTTTATGTTGTTTGCTGACTGGCCTTTGACCTCTGTTTCTCCCCTGCAGGTACGGCGCGGGCTATGACCTGGCGGCGCGGAGGAAAAACGCGACCCGGGAGTCGACGGCCACCCTCAAGGCGTGGCTCAGCGAGCACAAGAAGAACCCCTACCCGACCAAGGGCGAGAAGATCATGCTCGCCATCATCACCAAGATGACGCTGACGCAGGTGTCGACGTGGTTCGCCAACGCGAGGCGGCGGCTCAAGAAGGAGAACAAGATGACCTGGGAGCCCAAGAACAAGACGGACGACGACGAGGACGCCATCGTGAGCGACAGCGACGACAACTGCAACGGCAGCCAGCGGGACAAGGACGAGCAGATGCTGCTGCACCAGCGGGACGCGGACAAGGAGCAGCGCCTGCAGCAGGGCCTCCGGGACGAGAAAGGTGAGTGGGCGAGGTGTGAATGAGGGGGAGTGAGTGAGCGGGCGGGCGGGTCGATTGACACCTTTTGGCACCTCTTGCACCCCTCCCCTACCTCACTTCCTCCTCCCTTTTAGGCCCTCCCGCTTTGCGGCGCCTGGTATAGTGTGGTGCCCCAATCCAGTTTGGAAAAGAAGGCACAGGGGGCAGAGGACACCCGAGGACGATCCATATGGGGCTTCACACAAGCACACACACACACACACACTCACACACACACACTGTCTTTCTCTCTAGCCCACACATGCAAACATACGCGAGGGAACTTGCGACAGGGGTGCGGGGGGTTGGAGAGCTCCCCTGGGGCTGTCTCTCTCCCCTGCAGGTGTGAATCGCTCTGGGGACCGGGCCCGGGCGGGGGAGGCAGAAGCGGACTGGGCGGGGTCCTCGTGGAGGAAGACGAGCCCGCGGAGCAGCCCGCGCGCACCTCCGCGTGGCGCTGAGCGCGTTACCGCGGCGTGTCGCTCTTCTTCTCCTCTCTGCCGCCCAGCCGTCGTGTGGCTGTAGTATCGCGGCTGACGGGGGTGGGGCTGGGGCTGACTCGGGGTCGCTGGTTATAGAGGCGACCCGCCTATATGTGTGTGCCTGCTCGGGTCGTTTGACGGCCAAACGGGCGCGGCTAATCTGGCGTCCAAGTACTGCGCACTCGTACTTGCGCTGGGCGGGGCGGGGCGGGCTGTGTCATTAGGCACCGGGACAGAACCGAGGAGGTCAGCGGCAAAGGTCGAGGCGAAGAGGGGGGTGGGGGCTCTTCCTTTATTGTCAGCCGGGTGCGATGGGGTGTGGGTGGTGGTGGTGGGGGGGAGGCTTTTTAGGTGAGAGCAGAAGTGTGGGTGGGTGGGGGATGAACAACAGGGGAGGAGGAAATCAGGAGGGCACCCTTCTGCACTGTCTGCGGGGGATGGGCGTTGAGCTGTGCCCTTATTATTGTTTTCATTTGTCGCGTGCTTTTATTTTGTTTTTTCAAAGAGGAAACGTCAACTACCGCTGCTGTATGGCTGCCGTCAGCTTGCGTTACGCGTGTTGTACCGCGCGAGGCTTTATAGTGGCTACATCCATAACTCTACCGCGACAGAGGGGGGTGAGGGGGGCAGACACACAATAAAGTGAAAAGGGTAATAAGGAGTGTGGACGAGAGAGAGAGAGAGAGAGTGTGTGAGAGAGAGAGAGAGAGAGGGAGAGAGAGAGGGAGAGAG